AGATCTTGGATTGATCGGTTCAGTAAAGAAACGCAAAATACCTTTTCGGATTCTTTCGGATTTAAGAATCCAATCTTGGATTTTCTTAAAGAAACGCACCCTTAGTTTGTCTTCCCGGCGGGGAAGTGAAGTGGCAGGAGCTGCCTAACTAGAACGCCGCCCAGCGAGTCATGAAGGCAGTAACAAACGATATGGTTCAGACCCACAAAAGCTGTGTTTATGCGCCATATGTATTTCTCGGATACAGCAACAAACACCAACTGCTTCTCTAATGACCGCCTTCTTAAAAAGCAAACAAAAAGAAATAACCCCATCCCCCTCGAAAAAAATAACCATTTAAACAAAGTTTCATTTAATTGTCAGTCGTTTTCGCCAGCGCTTTCAAAAAACATTTGCAACTTAGTTTCGGGTTGTAAAATTCTGGAGTCTGGTCTACTCCCTCTTGATAATAGATTCCCCATCGCTTTGAGATACAATACCTTTTTATTATTGTTATTATTCACATCTTTTTATCGCAATCTACTTATCTCAGCGAGGGTTAGGAAACTAATCAAGAACAAAGTTGATTCACAGAGCTGGCTATCGATGAAATTTTTTTCAAAAGAAAGAATCGAACACAGCTAGCAAGTATTTCTCTCAGGAAACCAATTTTGTCTTGGTTTAATAGATTCATCTATTCACAAGATGGTGTCCCTAGGTTTCCCCGTCCCTAAATTACGTTTTCAAGAGACCAAAAGATTAAACACTGCATGCTCAGTGCAATTACGATAACGTTTATCAGTCTTCCAAAGAGTGTCTTTTGCTTTTATCTAAGCTAGTTTGTTCATAAAATAGGAATTATTTGTCATATAAAATGAATGCCGAGATTTCAACCACCTGCTCCAATTGTCTGTACCTCATTTCAATACGTCAAGGTGCAATTTTAGTGCAAACATGAACAGGTGTCTTTAAAAGATATTGTATTTTGGAAAATATGATTTTCACGTCAATTGTAGATTTATCTCGATGACCAAAA